TTGTAATTTGGGTCTTGGAAAGAGGCCAAACACATTTACAAATCACGTGGGGATACATTACCTATTTTCAAAAAACAAAAAAAAATCACGTGGGGATAAACCATGGGATTGAATCGATGTCTACACACGTGATGAACAAATTACACAACACATGGCTGACCTCATGGGAATCTGGTTTCCCAGATCTTAATGTGCCGTGTTTTTTGATCAATATTATTTCCTTTTTCACCCAAAAAAAAAAAAATTTCACAACACATTGTGTTCGTTTACCTCGTGAGATATGATACAAATATAAAATAATATCGCTTCGTCCTTGGTAACGTCAAAGGAAACATGGATGGTGAAGGGCCCAGGACAGGGATTCCTCCCCGTGCTTGAACCATCCACGGTTAACCGAGCGAAGTTTACGGTTTTTCTGATCTTGATAAGCATAACACATATTGAGAATTTGAGATGATTTAAACAAATACAATAATGTTATAAGTATAGTAATTTTAAGAATAATACTTTATATAATATGATACAATTAATGTTAAACAAATAAATATACTAATTTAATTAAAATTTAGGGATATATTATATGATTCATTGAAAGTCTATTATTTTCCAAACAAAAAATACTTAGACGGTGTATCTCAAGTGGCAAAGGGTTTGTAGAAAATAATTCTCTGTAAATCCCTTAAGTTCTGTATGAAGCCTGCTTTATTAGGATTTAATACCACCATCCATTCATATCTTAGCAAATTGGCTATCCTTGGTTTGGAGAAGATCTTCTAGAATGGAGTTCTTCTCTTGAAAATCTTTAAATTCAACTAATCCACCATGGCCTGCAAGATGTAAAAGAAATGCCATGCTGATGATCAAAATTGATTGGAAAGTATTGTGTTTCAACAGAAACACTCTTTTGAGAAGAAAAACAGAACAAACCAGATATCATCCACTGGAAATCTAAGTTTAACAGCTTTTGACACTCTTTATGTGCTTTTCAACTATTGAGACAAAATTGAAAATTAGGTACCATAACCATGAATCACAAGCCTCTAGATGGGATAATCAATTCTTTTGCCTGAATTACTATATTCTTCATACATGAAGTCCAGATTTTGTCCATGTCAGATGGTCACCTATGAATATAACCTTAAGTGACCTATGGAACAAGCAGATTGATCCCTACAATAGTTGGTTAAACATATATTTATGAGCTCAAGTCAGTGTTGTTGATTTCTTAGACTGTTGGAGGAATTGACGAGTTATTGATCCAAAGTCAATCAGCAATGATCTTACGCTACACGCACTAGTGACACCTGAAACTAACTAATATTAGATCACTATCTCCCAACTTAAAAGATAAAATTCAACGCAACATTGACACTATGTTGAACAATAATTGAGATCAGATAAATTTTTAAATATTTGATATGTACTATGTATGTGAGAAACTTACTTCAGTGTAGCCTGGAGTGTGTATAAGCATAATGTCTGCCTAAGACTCCATGGATTACTCCCCTCTAGCTTTATCTCCACATCAGCGGTAGAAGCATCAACCTAATGAGATGAACATAGCAGATGGCAGCTTGAGATTTGTATAAGCAAATCTTGAATGTAGTAAACTTTATTCCATTCTTCACTTTCTTTTTGTAACTCTTATCATATAAACCAATAAATATACAAAATAGCACTAAATTAGGCAGGAATTGGAGAATCAAATAACCTCAGAGGCAGGAAAGCAAGTTTGAGGGTTCTACCCCCACAGAGGCATAGATCCTCAAATGTATTAAGCACTCCAGAGATAAAGAATTAGTAGTTACATCTTGAAAATGCAGAATCTTATCACAACTTAACTGTTTTGACCAATTTTCATGATATGCAACACTGTCCCAGACAAGAAAAGCACAGATCAACATATCTGATAGTTTGGCCAAAAAGGAAAAAAAATCATCTGATATCAGTTGTAAACTTACATTTAGTTGTGGGTTAGAAACATGTAGCGTACTCCACCCAGCATCTCAATGTTATGTGCAAGTTTCTCATTGTATCTTGGATTGTAGAAAAATCACTTGTGAGAAAAATGCTTTGCTATTAAACATTTTCTAAATGTCTAACTTGTTTCTTTTCATTCCTCTAAACATCATACTCATATCAACCCCTTTCGTACACTTAAAAGTGAAAAATAAATATAAAATATACCAATCAACAAGTATATTTCCTTCTGGATGAACAATCAAGTAGGAAGCTGCTCCACATGATTCCCCAGAATAATAACCAAAGTGATAAAACACCCTGAAAAATTGTGACAACTTCTGAATATTTGTAATCTTACAAGTATTTGGATGGTAAAATTAAGGAAAACAACACGTTAAAATATCATCTATTGTATAGTTAATCATCAAATGTGACCAAAAAAAAAAGATTCAACTCCTAAATGCTTTAGTCTATATCCTTCTAGAAGGGACCAGCAACGCATACGTCCTGTAGTTAGACTCAACATCTATTACTTCCTTTAAATTTCAACTAAGGTAAGGTATTCCAAGAATGCATAATAACAACATCAGCTCTCAGCTGATGAAGTGCAATAAAGATGCAATTGGGAATGATAAAAACAACCATGATAATAAAAATAAAATATAAGGATCACCGGAAGTCTTTGTTCATCAATTGGAATTGGAAATGTCTTCTCAACTTCGAGGATATCAGGAGGGGTCACTTCTGCATGGATTGAGCCTGTTGGGTAGGAAATTAAGGCCTAAAACATCAATAGTTTAAGATGTGGTTAGGATTGCACTGCAAATTAAAATTTAACACAAGGGATTACAAACACACAGTTCACACATTTGTTCTACACGTGATAGGCGGAGTGGCAACACTGTTCCGTAGGTGGGAACACTGTTGGAGCATACTGTATTCGACCCCCACCTCCCCCACCCCCTATTAAAAATATGTACCCTTGTTCAAAAAATAAAAGAAAAACATAGTTCGCACCTTTTTTCTACTCTTCAAGCAATAAATGGTCTTTTGCTTAATCCCAAATAAAAGTGAGAAGAAATGTGAATGCAAAAACTCAAACAGAAAAATATCAGCCTCTAGAGATGAAGATGAAAAAAAAAAGCGCAAGTAAAAGGAACCTGAAGAGCCTTTAATCGTTTCTCCTTACAAGTTGGCTGTTTAAAAATTTCAGACATGCCATCAACCCGTGTGAAGACTTGCTGAAACAACAAACATCCTCATAGCATGGTTCCAAAATAATCATGCAATTCACAACTTGAGATGCATGAGCCAGTTGTTCCATTATTAGGAAGGGTTTAAGGGAAAATAGAAAAGAAAAAGAAAGAAATATTGACTAGCTAAGCACAATCCAAACAATGCAAGGAATATTAACATGGAAAATGGATGGATTTGTGTTCGTACAAAAATCCATTTGACCGTCCGTTGAATATTCCATCTATAAATTCATTTGCTTGTACCTATCCATCCATTGTTCGTGTGTTCATAAATGAGTTAGTGGACTAAGGGTATGGACAGATGAACACGTGAATGGGTTTGTGGAAAGAAGGACAAGTGGGTTTGTGAATGGACGATTGGACAAATAGACAAGTTTGTGGATGAGTTTGTGAACAGATGGGTGTGGAGGAACTAATGGATATTTAGACGGATATGTAGATGAATGGATTATTCGTCCATTTAATATCTATCTCCATAAATCCATCCTTCTCAAATCCATCCATGTGTCTATACCCATCCGCTCATAAATCTGTTTGCAAACTTACCCATTCGTTCACAAATTAATCCGTTCCACTTATGAATCTATCCATTAGTTTCTCTGTTAGTCTTATTTGCCATAAATCTATTTGCAAACTTGTTTGTTCATTTATAAATATGTTTGTTTTTCCATAAATTTGTTTACAAACCCATCTGTTCATAAATTGGTCTATAAACTTATCTATCTACAAATTTGTTTGTCCGCTCGTGGATCCGTCCATCAGTCTCTCCATTCTTCTGCAAACTTGCCTGTTTGTCCATAAATCTATTTGCAAACTGTCTGTTGGTCCATCCATAAATCTATTTGCAAATCCATCCATTCATAAATCTATCCACAAACCTGTTTGTCCATCCATAAATTCATCCATCTGCCTATGAATTCGTCCATTAATCTCTCCATTCATCCATAAATTCATCCAAAAACTTGTCCGTTTCTTTATAAATCCATCCATAAATTTGTCAATTCGTCCAAAAATATGTTCATCCATTTGCAAACCCATATGTTCATCCATAAATTTGTCCACAAATTGCACCGGGGGAAAGCACCAGGAAAGTGCACCAGGATTGCAAGTTAGCAAATTTCAGACTACACTTTGCAGACTACAAATAAGCCGGTGTAATTTTGTCAAAAATGGCCACTAAATTCCACAAAGATGGCTAACTTCCAACTGCATTTTCACTTTTCATTTATTGCCTTATGTTAGATTTTGCCTATAAATAGCTATGTTCCCTTCGTTGTAGGCATAAGTTTTAATCCAAATTTTCAGTTTATAATTCTCCTCTGTTGAGTGAGTTTTCTTGGGAGTGGATTCTCTCAATTTATCTCTATATCTTAGGTCTTGCCAACCTAAGTGGTATCCCTGACAATCAAATTCATCGTAGTGGGATTTAAATCTCGCCAAAATCGGTGTTTTAGTATTGGCTCCTACGCCACAAATTAGTCTGTCCATTCATAAATTCATCTATCTGCTCATAAATTTATCCATTAGTCTCTTCATTCCTCTATAAATTCGTTCACAAACTCATTTGTTTGTCCATAAATCCATTTGCAAATCTGTTTATTCGTCCATAAAAATGTTAATCGGTCCATAAATCCATTCACAAGCCTTAATATTCATTCATAAATTCATCTATAAGCTGTCTATTCGTCCAAAAATCTATTCATAAACCTGTTTGTTCATCCACATATTTCTCTGTTCACTTATGAATTCATTCATTAGTCTCTTCATTCATCCATAAATTCATCTACAACCTTATCGATCTTTTTATTCATAAATCCATTTAAAAATTCATTTATTCATCCACAATTATGTTTATCCATCTATAAATCCATTCACATACCCATATGTCCACTCATAAATTTATTTATAAAGTATCTGTTCATTTATAAATTTACCTACAAACTCATCTATTCATCTATAAAATTGTTTTCAAACTCTTTTATTTATCCACAAATCTATCCATCCATCTACAAATTTATATATTCATTTAGAAATCTATAGTTTATTTATAAATTTGTCCTCAAATTAGTTTATTGTCCATAAATCAATCTACGTACAATCTTATTTATTAATCTACAAATCTGGTTGTCCATAAATCTATCTACAAAATAGATAATCAAAAGAGTATGTGCAAATTTTTGTGTAATTCAATGGATTAGTTTGTGGCCAAATAGATAAATTTGTGGATGAAATGTTCTTAAAAAAAAAAAAAAACAAACTCTGAAAATAAGCTTTGTGTAATGACACGCATCCCAATTTTTTTTTTTTTTTTCTAAAAAAAAGGGAGGCACTTAAGCACTAAATTACCGATGCTATAACTGATCATATTACAAAATGTTGGAAGGATATTGAAGAGCTGTTGGAAGGTTTAACATCAAGAATGAATGCATGCTCAAAGGATTACCGAAGCCATCCAGCAGCAAGTGTCACAGTCTGTGCACATATTATCTGCAGAATGGATCAAAATATAAAATCCAACCAATATAAAAATGGAAAAAAAAAAGTAATCTTTTTGCTAATATATGAGCAAAAATTTATTCAAGAGTCTCACAAAATACCTCCATGGGCAGTATCATATTTTCCTCATTTCTCTATCCTTAAGTTAAAATTTTCTATTCAATCAACACACCCTTCATGACATAAAAATAAAAAATAAAAAAAAAACCGAGTCTTTCTTTTGCTTAATTAACCCAAATTTCAATGCTTTTTATGAAAATTTCTCTCTTCTCTCAAACCCCATAACTAATTTAGGTAAGCAGATATGAAAAAGGAGATAGACGAAGATCATTACCTACAAAGAAGTCACCATCTACATTCTGGGGCCGCTTTTGTCTCATCCCTTTAACATTTGCATCTTCACCTTGTATTTCAACTGCTTTGATTGCATTCGCAGGAAATCTCAATACCCTCAATTTCTTTTGACTAGATTGGTGATGGAGAAGTACTCTTCATCTCCACCAAAGAGCTAGAACAAGATCCAGAAATAGAGAAATTGATTGCTCTGCTTGCCATAGCCATGGAGAACAAATGCCAAGCACAATGTTTGACTTGTTTCAACACATGGTTCCATGTTATTAGTGCAGTTAACAGTTATTAACACCGAGGGAGAAAAATTTTGAAAAAAGACAGGGATATAAATATAACAAATGAAAATTTGAGAATATAAGTACAACAAACATAAAAGGTGAGGGACAAAGCCCATTTTTGTTGAACCCTTGAAAGAACCCCCAATCTTTCCTCTTGATTTTTCCTGAAACCCTAGACACTTACCTTTGTTTCTCTGCAACTGTTTAGCAATGGCTTGCGCTTCTATCCTCCGCAAATCGGCCGCCTCTTTGATCCCACTCGCTGGTCGAGTCGCCCGAGTCCGGAGCAACTTCCATGCTCCTCTTTCAGCTGCCCTTAATCATGCATTCGCCTCTCAGAATCCTTCTCAGAGCTCGTTTCTCCGTTCCCTCGATTTCTCTACTGCTGCTAATATGAAGAAGCCGAGTTCTGATGACTTCCTTCTCCCCGTCATTGAATCCGAGATCCAGTGCGCCGAGGAGAGTGGGGATTATGCTCCTGTAAGTAATTTTTCTTCTTTTTGGTTTTTCTGGTTGATGGGCAAGCAGAGGAAACCATGGAAATTAAAAAAATTGAAGCTTTTGCATTTTATATTTTAGGGCTAATAAGTTGAAACAGAAAGCCCTAATTTTGGTTCTTTGTTGAAGATTGCAGATGCTCCAAGTGGGTTTCCTTTCAAAATTGAAGACCTTCCTGGACTTCAAATTATAACATTGCGGAGAGAGTATGATGGTGAAACTATTAAAGTTGATGTTCACATGAGTAATCTTGTTACTGGTGAAGAAAATGATGATGATGATGATGATAATGACAATAGAAAGGCAAATCAATCTTGCCTCCCTTTGGTTGTTACCGTCTCCAAGAAAAGTGGACTGAATCTGGAATTTCACTGTGTTGCTTTGCCTGATGAGATTTCCATTGACAACTTGGCTGTTAGAAATTCGGAGATTGAGTATCAACTGAGCTATGAGGGGCCTGACTTCCAGTAAGCTTGACTGTGAATCTCTTTTTCTCTGTTTTATTAATTGAGTATTGATGCATTCGTTTCTTCTACAGTGATTTGGATGAGAACTTGCAGAAGGTATTCCACAAATACTTGGAGATTAGAGGAGTAAAGCCCAGCAACACCAATTTCTTGCATGAGTACATGATTGAGAAAGATAGACGCGAGTATCTAATTTGGTTGAAGAACCTGAAGAAATTTGTTGAAGCATGAATTTAGCTTTCCAGAACAATTTTGGAAGAAGAGATACCTTTAATATTTTGTCTGTATTCTTGTCTCTTTTCATAGGGATCTAGATTATCATGTAGTTATGTTTACAGTTTGTACGTTGAAATACTCAGTTTTAATTTCAGAATTTGAATTTTGAGGATCCATTTTCATACTTCTTCCCTATAATCTTCCGGTCAATTTTCCTACTGTTGAAGCCTTGAAGGTGCCGTAGCTGAATGTGACCACTTCTCGTAGTTGGAATCGGCTCTACTTCAAGTGATCCATAACCCGCTGATAATGTCATCAAACTTAACACTGATGGCTTGGCCTTAAGGAATCCTGATTTTGCAGTTGCTGGTGGAGTTCTTCAGGACTACCCTGGTAACTGGATTGTCGGATTTGCTTGAAAAATTGGATTCTCAATTAGCATTGCACTAGAATTATGGGCATTAAGGGATGGTCTCAACCTTGCTGTGTGTCTGAAGGGTTTTCTAATCTTATTGATGAGACAGATTCTTTGGTTACTAATAATTTGTTATCTAAGCAGGTCCCTTCCTTTCATCATATCATTGCTCTTGTTCTTGATTGTAGGACCTCATTCATCAACTCCGGCAAGTTCAAGCGGTCGGTCCACATCATGAGGGAATCTAATTTGGTGGCTGATCACATGGTTAGATTAGGGCATGATCTTGATGATTTTGCTATCTTTGAGTAATGTCCTTTTGAGGCAAAAGTTTTTTGAGTTCCCCCAGTCTTGCCTGATATATTTCCTATGTAGTTAAGAGAAAGTGCTAGGGGCACTCGCCTCTTGCACTCTCCGGCCAGCACTTCCCCTTTCCTTGGCCACGTAAGCTTGTTTCATCTTTGAACGGCAACCTCTTACCAACGACACTAACGTGGCTCAATAAGAGTGAAAGTGTTGGCCGGAGAGTGCAAGAGGCGAGTGCCCGTAGCACTGCTCATGTAGTTAATGCTATCTCTCTAATTAAAAATAAATAAAGAAAAATGCTGAAGCAAAAGGGCTTGTACTTTTTTATTGGTTAAATCACCCATTTTGGTCCCTGAGCTTTGAGTTTCAGACCAAATTGGTCCTTGAACTTCAAAAACTATCAAAATCATCCCTAAATTTTTTGGTACCAACATTGCCCTTCCATTAATAGAATTGCCACTTGTGACGTTGACTTGCCACAAACATTCAATACCACATTGCATGGCTTGACAGAATAAGAAATGGAAGAAGCTCAAGAAATTTAACATGATGCCCAGGCACAACTTATTTTATCAGCAACAACAATGAGGTCGAGATACCTTGTAGAAAAAATAAATAAAACAGTAAGGGGCTATAACCCAGTCTCAGACATCGAAACAAATTATTTCTACTTTCTTATACAGGACCCGGAAGGCATATGTCCGAGTTGTTTATCAACTTATGGTGGTAATCTCCATCAACATTTTCTACTTTATTTTCTGAATTTTCTGATACAGATTTAAGAGTCTACTGGTATGTTTTTGTGGGTGTAAACGATCCCTTTGTCACCATCCACTACCTGTCCACTTCCTCTAAGAATCCTGAATTCAAAAATGGGTAAAGGCAATTCTATAATGTCAGTATGCCAGTTAGAGAATGATAGAGCCACAGATATGCCAGAAACAGGATCAACTTTTACAATACTATAAGGCAACCCATATGGCCATACATCCATACCATCTCGTCGTTAACAATCCTTCAACTCCAACTGGACCACGGGCATGTATCCTACTGGTGCTTATCCCAACCTATGGAGTGTCATTTAAGAGAACCAACTAGTAAAGGAAGAACCTTGGACTTATTAAATCAATGCTCAAAATAAATATCAACATAAATTGATACCTCCGCACCCAGTCCAAATCGTGCCCCATCACAAAATCTTGTGCTTGCATTATGGAAAACAGCAGCACTGCCCATTTAAAAACAAGGAAGCATAACATGGTCACCCACATTAACAGACACAATATCAAGACCTTGAGTTGGACATAAATTATTGCACTAAATTTTTATCTTGCAAGTCACCAAGAACTAAGGTAATGAAATGAGCTTGCAAGCTGTGAAATTTTGGAGCAATGTAGTTGAAGCAATGTACCTGTCAACTTGACGCAGAAATACTTCAGCAACTTCATGGTCTTCCGTTATGATGCAATCCGTATGCGCACTGCCAAAAATGGGAAGGAGTAAACATTGGAGCATCTCCACACAACAATAGAGATGAAACTTTATATTGGTACACAGACTTCCAATGCACTTGCATGAACACACAGAAGTAAACATCCTCATTTAAAAGGGAAAATTGATAACATGCCTTCCATGTTCATGGATGTGATCAATGGCTGCTTGAACATCATCTACTATTTCAACAGTGCAGGCAGTTGAATTGTATTCGTGATGAAATGAATGTGTCTCTGGGATATTCAACTCAGCACTTGCCCTACGTCCACCATATAAAGTAACACCTGCAGAAGATGTGTTAAGCTACCCTTCCTATTCTGATCATTCACATTTTGCTGAACTACTACTACTCCAGTAAGTGGCCATAAAATGATATCCAAGATTTGGCATTTGAAGGCAGTTCTTTGCACTAAAAGTTCTACCTTCAAGACGAAGATCAACAATAAGGTCATTGAGCCCACCAGTCTGCACCAAATCCTTATGCACAAGTAGTGTTTCCTGAGAAAAGTGAAAAAACCAAAATAAGAGAATAGCCAATTGATAAAAAAGAGAAACTCACAGATGAAAATAGCACATCCATTAATGACATTAAGGATCCTTTCAAAACAAGATATAAAGGAAGAGGGAAGTTGAAAAAATGAACAATGAATTACCATTGCATTACAAGCAGCTGGGTAATCAACTTTTGCATCCAAAACAATCCGTTTTGCCATATTTATATCAGCAGATTTATCGACATACACATGGCAAATTCCATCTAGAATAAACAGTAAACTTGGGTAAATGAGATAGAAGCCAACTGACTCTATGTCTGCTTTGAAAGAAAAATGTTACTACAACTCATGCATCGCTGAATGGAAAGGGCACATGATAGTAATCCAGCTTCTCACCAGCATGACCAAGAACAGGAATCTTTGTTGAACTCTTGATTTGAGAAACAAGTTTGTTGCTTCCTCTTGGGATCACCAGATCAATGACATCATCAAGCTGATGCATAAATGTAAATGCTGAGTTCAATCAAAATTTATGGTATAGCAATCTAAATGTTTTAAGACATTGTCATTGTAAGATCTCCCCACATTCAAAAGATCAGGAATCTCATCTCTTGAAGTCACAAGCCCAATAAGTTTCCTCCCAACACCCTCCGGAAGAGCTTCAGTTATAACCTATAATGTCAAAACAAAATCTCAGAAAAGAAAAGAAGTAAATGACAACACTTCATTACATTCTGCAGAAAACGAAAAGAGGGGGGGGAGACAAGGATCCAAACCTTATGCAAAATGGCATTTGATCGTTTTGCTTCCTTTCCCCCTTTCAAGAGAAGCCCATTCCCACTTTGGATTGCTAATGAGGCAATCTATTCAAATCACAAATAAAACCAAAGGCATATATTGAGGAAAGACCAAAACTAACTCATATCATATAAAATAACGGGCCAAAAAAATCTCATGCTGTCTTTAGTTAAACATCTGAATGGAAAACCACATAAAAGTAACCCATCTCACCAGCATGAAATAGTAGGTGAATAACATTCTGAAATCTAACTTAATTACCCTGGTCTAAGTAGCATTGTGTTCAACTTCCAAGCTTAAGGCCAAACATGAAATGATTAGTTCAGTATGAAATCTCATATATTCTTCATCCACATGAAACCGTGATGCTAAAGATTGCCTACACTTAAGAAGGCAAATTACAAATAAGACACTGCCAGTTCCGCTTTCAAAGTATAATTATAAACAACCAATGAACATAGCCGGAGGATAGCTTTTGGGTTTCACCTAGTGCAAGTCTATAAATGAACACACAGGAAGATGTCAAAAAAATGTAATTCACTCAATCTTACATGGTTACACCATATAAAACAATGTGAAATAAGGAATTTGCAAATTATATATCCAATTTACCTGTACCAGTGCATCAGGTCGAGACTCAAAAACAATAAGAAGAACACCCAAAGGACATGATGTTTTCTCTAAGATAAGCCCATCTGCAATCTGGACAGAAAAGTAATCATTAGAATACTAAATAATAAACATAAGAGGAATGCTTTCACTCTCATGACACATTTCCTAAACGAAGACATTTCTTGCCCCACTTCTATCTAGGTGTAGAAATAGAAACCAGTAACTGCGTTTCAAACTGAATAAAAACCCCCCCTTCCCCCCAGTTTGGAGCCTGATAACTATAAAGAATTTCCATTACAAGTTTTCATTACCTGGGTTCTCTTCAAAATGCGCCCAATTGGATCTTCCATGTTTGCAAGCATACGAATTGACTTTGCAAGGCTGGAAATCTGTCAACATGCAATGGAATTTCACTCAAGTAACATAATTGATAGCTATAAACCATTTTGAGAAGTACAAACAGAATGCAGTTGGAATTCTATGCAAAATGCCACCAATCAAGAAAGACTAATGAGAAAGAAGAGGAAGTAAACAGAAACCAGAATTTAAAATAATTGGATTCAGTAACTTGCCTTCCTGGGGTTCAAAACCAGCCGAGATATCAAGGATTTTTCATACCCTGCTTGTTCTGCAGCAGCTACATCAGCGTCATTCTCTGCAGTGATCAATTTTTCATTTGCTTCAAGGGCATCAGCTACATCAAGTAAAACCTTTTTTCTTTCTTCTGAAGACATTGCCTGGAGAAAAATTCATAACAGTTGTTTAAGCTGATAGAGAACAAACTACCACTGGCTCTTAGCAGATTATTTGGTCAGAGGGTAGCTAAATCTTAGTTAAAAAACCAACAAATTTATCATAAACTTGCAACTACCAAGCAATGTAATTACCTGAAGCTGCCTGGAACTTTCTCTTGCAGCAACTGCCATTTCACGTGCACCTACGTCTTTAAGTGACTCCCACAAATGTGCATCTTGATGAAAAAGGGTACCGATACGTTTTCCTTGGAGGACTTTTATAATATTCTCAGCTGCAAAGCCACTTTAGAGAAGCAAAAGCAAAATTAATAAAAAAACGCAAAAGTGCATCAGCTGAAGGAAGCATCTTTGTTTTTTTTTTTTTTTTTTGGATTGTCTGAATGAGCATTACAGATGTATGGAGGCTAAGAATCTAACTTGTTATGTTAAGTACTACCAACCCCAGACAAATAAAAGTTCATTAGGTTCTTCAAGTCATAATTCATAGTGGAATAAGATACAAGGCTTCCTTGAAGTATGAGGAAGAAAATTTGGGAGAAGACAAAGACCCTCACTACCCTTATG